TAAGGACGAACTATTTTTACCATCTAACCACAAGAGAAAATCGTACTCGGCTGTCTTGAACGATTGTAAAAGTTAAGCGATTATTTAAGTAGTTTTCAATATCAGTGAGCGCAAAGAGTGAAGTATAATTTTGGAACGAATACTTAAGCTAATTTTCATTTTATATTTTCTATACGACGGGCATTCAAGTAAATCGTGAATATTAAAAGATCAACGAACTTGAGTCAAGGATTGGACAAAATCATACGATCTAAATATTTTCATTTATTTTACAACGTAATTTAATTTGATTATTTAATTATTTAATTTTGTATTAATTACAAGCTCATAATTTATTATCACATAAATAGGCATGATAATATCGATACAATTATAATGGTCACAAATCCTTTGGAATAATAATATGATATTTAAGTAATTTAATAATGTTCAATTATTGTATTTGGTCTATGTTTATAACCCATTAGCGACGACATGCTCTTCTCAATGTAATAATGGAAATTATACAATTTTATAAAACATTGTGTATTTATCACAGTCTTTCCGTGTCCTTGGCAATGTTCTTCTATTTCTTAATGTTTCAAACTTTTTTAACATCTTTTCTATTCCAGACATCGCATCTTCCGCCGCTAACAAAAATCGGGTATCTTTATATGGCTCTTGACTTTTTAATAGATCAATCCATTTTTGAAGATTTTCTTTAACACGGCCATTAACCTCTTTCCATGTCTTATTAGATTCTTCAACAATTACATTATCATTCATATTATTCTCACCTTCTTCATATTCTTGTAATGCTTCTGCAAATTCTTCATCAATTTCTTGTACATCAAGTTCATTCTCATCCACCACCTCATCTTCTTTCTCAAGTTCATCATTCTCGACCGGCTCTAAGCCTCGTGTTAATAGAATTAGATCATTATGTTTCCAGAAAGGTGGGGATCTATAATGTTTAACTTTATTAAAAAAGTTTGGGTTTAATGGTCATACGGATTGCACCAGATGTTTGCAGAGAAGAAAACAACTGCAAAGGTAAGCCGGGCATAAGTAAGTCCACGTGTTTGAATCAGTAATATAGGAACCACTACCTAATTTTTTTTTCAAACATGTCTTCCAAGAACGTTTGAAGGCTGGTCGCCATGATGCTAAAGCTCTTGTTTTGTAATCTGATTCTAGTTGTTGCATCTTAATCATATATCGTGAAAGAAGACGTTCGATAAGAATCCATACAAGTAAATCGACACATGGTTTATTAAATTTATAAATGTAATTATGTTTAATAAGTCTCCAGTGCGATTCCATGATCATTGTTGTTTTTAATACTAAAATTTCATTTTGGCACTTTGTGCCCAGTTAGGCTATTTAGATGAATCATACCACTCCACCCACAGATATGACCATGCCTACTTGAGATCATTATTCTTGCAGTACATATACATCTCCTTAACAGCAGCTTCACGAATTTGATTAGGAGAATAGTACTGCATGTCAGCTGCAGGAATGTAAGGGTGTTGATTAAAATGCTTGGTTATGAGATTGATGATATGGTTATGATACTCTAGTGGACAAAAGGTGAATGGTATTTTTCTATTTGATGTTTCGACTGGCAATTGTATTAACTCATTATTATTATTAGAGCTAATATTATGCTGTTGTGATATAATTTCAGGGCAAAAATCAAAATCAATAAATGAAAATTCTGTATTTGCCCTGCTTGCAGAATATCATGTTATTCTTGGCATTTTTTTTAACACAAGTTGCTTTTTTATTGCTCGTTTTAGGTGCCAAAAGCAAAGCTGGATATGCGTGTCTGGCCATACCGTTTTTGCTGCTGAAATCTGTGCAGAGTCTTTGTCAGTCATCACAAAGACAGGATTGATTCCTATATTACGCAGCTTATCAAAAAACTGTGTAATCATGTTTGTGCAAGTTCCATCGTTAATTGCAGTTGCTGTGGTTAGCAGCATATATGCCAATAGAAATCCCATTCCGTCCACCTCGGCAAGTATTGAGTATAGCTCAAGATTCATTTTGTTAGTGTTATCTGTTATATAATAGTATTAATTGTTAGTATGAATGATTTTTATAATTTAACTATTTAAAACTAGTATTGCGTGCTAAACTGAAAAGCTAGCTCAGATTAAACTTTGAAACTTGGCGAAATTCATTTTGCCAAGTTTCAAATTTTGAAAATGGTGAATTTAACGAATTATCCGAAACCTCTAAAAGTAGAGATTTATATTTAATTATTAAATATAAATAATATTCTGGTATGATAGACAATTTACTTAATATTCAAATATTGGTAAGAGAATTTTAAATATTATATTATATTGTGAAATTCATTGATTAAACTTAGATAAGTTGTAATTCACTATTCAAACTTATTCTAGATATGTTAACGGTTTGTTAAACAAGTTTTAAATCAAGATTTTTAGAGGCTCAGATTGGATAAGGTTGAAGTTCCAAAGAACAATTAATTTTAGAGTTTAGCCCGCAATACTAATAATAGCACATACATGTCACGTCTACACCGATCTCAACTGCATTTACGTCTAATTTATTAATTAGCTCTATAACTCCAAAGCTAATAATGGTAACTCCATTCTCTACAATACTTAATATTATTTCAGTATCATCACATTCTTCAATAATTTTAATAGCTGATTGGATTTGATCTTCATCTTTTTTCCAGATATGCTGACTAAAATTTATCCACCAATAATATATCTGCTTCTCGGTAACATTCGGGCTTCTTGTGCCAATATTTTCCTATATAATTTGAGGTATATTCTGAAAATTGTTTTGAATATATTCTTTTATTTCATTCATTATACATACATCAGCATATTCAGTATGATATTTGTGAACTAATTCAACCTCAATTTGGTTTTTTTCTGTGTCTATAGTAAGCATTAGCCAGCCTCTACAATGAAACCTTTGCATTGGCAAATGATCTCTATGTTTGGTAGGATCTTCATACTTTTTTGGTTTTTTTTGCCTATCAAGTAATTGTGCACAGTGGTATCTAAATTTTGATATATGTTCTGATCTCATTGGGAGTTTGTCTTTATAACTTTAAAGAACAAGTTAGTTAATTTTTAACTTGAATTTGAATATATTTATTTAAATATTTTTAATTTATATTTGCTTACTTGAACTTGAAGTTTATAGCCGCAAGAATATTATCTGAAATGTACTGTATGTTGCAACCTCTTTTGGATCTATTGGAGCTGTTTGTTCATCAATGCTAATAATTTGCTTGAAATTTTCTATATTTTGACCTTTCATTGTTTTTAGGGTAGTAAAAAAATCATCCATTGTAATGTGACTGGTACTTGCATTTGCCATAGCATCTGCAGCTGCACGTTTTTGTGCATTTTGTCTATTTCTTCTGTCTCTACACACTGAACATGTTTTAATAATCTTGTTATTTTTCAAAAAGAATTGGATTGGACGAGGCTGATTGCAATCTGTGCAAACTTTATCCTGTTCAGCATTAACTTGAGTTTCTTGTTTAGCATTAAATTGAGCTTCCATGTTTTTGAAAAGTTTTATAGATATTAAAAAAACTTTATTATCTTTTATTAACAGATAATGATCAACGAAGAACGAATTGTTAATTTTGATTATACAGTACGCAAAGAGCGAGAGTAAGACGTTTGTTTAACTTCAATTATGAATATTTATGTATTATAAAGTTCAATTGAAATAAGAATATAATATAATATGGTTATTATTTTGAACTTGGAGCTTATTTTTTTTTTTTTAG